GTGATGCGTTGGGCAGTCGGGGCATTGTGAGCGCCTATAATGGGCGTACCGGGCAGAGTTCGGGCGCTCAAATCTTGCGGACGACACGTAACAAAATGGAGCCACTTGTTGTGGGAGTGGAAAATAGTCTAATCTAGAGGACTAGCAAAAAAAATGGGGCATCCAATGCAGCGGACCAGTCAAAGTGATGCGTTGGGCAGTCGGGGCAGTATGCGCGCCTATAATTGTCAAGACTAGAGAGGAAAGTATGTCGATTAGGTTAGGGGAGGGGGGTACAAGAGTATCGAGAGAATTGTTGTACCCTCTAAGAATCACCCCTACACAACCTAGAACTAAATAATATGAAACATATAATTTGACACACCCCCATAGGTGAAGTAGGGGGGATAGCCAAACCTAACAGTGGTCACAAGACCAGTCAAGCAGAAAAGCAAACAAGACAAAGCTCAGGGTGGATCTCAAGGACACCACACAGTCTGAGTACAAGCAGGTGGCCACAAGGCCAGTTCACATGCAGGTTTATAACAAAGCAAGAGATACAGTGATCACAACCTAGCAAGAGTAAACATGCAGGTATATATATATAGTGATCACAGTACAAGCAGGGTCAAGAAGTAAGCAAGTGAGGTCCAGTAGGCACAAGGCCTAACAGAGTGCAGAAGCGCTGATGGTCACAAGGCTGAAGCGCCTTGGTGAACACATCAGCAGTGTTGGCCTCAGTGGCCACATAACGCAGACAAAGCTGACCGCGCTGCTGCAGCTCTCGAGCAAGGAAGTACCGCAGGGCAATGTGCTTCGTTCTGTGCTCCAGTCTGTGCTCCTCACACAAGGCAATGGCAGCCTTGTTGTCGACGTACAGCACTGGAGGAGAACGAGGTCGCTCTCCCAGGTCGGTCAGCAGGTAGGTCAGCCAGCGTAGCTCCTGGGCAGCCATGGCTGTGGCGTAGATCTCAGCCTCACAACTGGAGCTGAGAACAGAAGAAGAGCGTGTGGAACGCCAAGAAACTGAGCCAGAGCCAAGGCTGAAGGTGTAACCCTGAGACGACCGCTGAGTAGCCTGATCGTCCGCCCAAGAAGCGTCTGAGTGTCCTGTGAGTACAACTCGGTCCCGCCCTCCAAGCACTAGCCTCATGCCCGACGTACTGCACAAGTAGCGCAACACCCTCTTAGCGGCATCCATGTGCTCCTTCCTGTGACGGCCAGGAGCGACATAGCGTGCAAGGATGCTAAGAGGGTATGCCAGGTCAGGTCGAGTGCAGGTCATCAGGTACATGAGACAGCCCACAAGCTCTGGATACGGGCCACTCGGCTCTACGGACTCATCCGAAGGCAGAGCTGAGAGCGAGTGACCGGTAGGCAGAGGAGTGGACTGAGGCGAGGAGTACGTGAAGCGGAAGCGCTGGAGGATCTGCTGCACCATGTGTGACTGAGTCAAGGTGATGGTGCGCCGTGCTCTGTCCCGGGTGATCCGCAAGCCAAGATAGCTCGTCAGTTCACCCAGGTCTGTGCACGTGTGTCTCCTCTGCAGCTCCGACTTCACGTGGGCGAGTGCCGCGGTGTCAGCAGTGGCAAAGACCAAGTCGTCGACGTACACGAGGATGTAGAACGGCGGCAGCGAGGTGTCGGTGCGTAGAAACAGTGACGGGTCAGCAGTAGAGGGAGCGAACCCAAGAGCCGCAAGTGTCGTCCTCAGTGTGTCGTGCCACTCACGCGGTGCCTGGCGGAGACCGTAGACCGGCCGCTGGAGCCTCCACTGGGTACCAGGAGGAACCGACCCAGTGAAGCCAGGAGGGCGGCGCAGCCAGATCTCCTCGTGCAGGCTGCCCTGCAAGAAAGCAGTGCTGAAGTCAAGTGAGTGAAGCTCGTAGTCGCACTGAGCGGCTATGTGCAGCAGCACCCGAAGAGTGGTCATCTTCGGGGTGGGGGAGAAGGTCTGGAAGAAGTCGACTCCCTCTCGCTGACTGAAGCCTCGAGCCACGTAGCGCGCCTTGAAGACAGGAGGAGAACCCGGTGGCCGCTTCACCCTGAAAATCCACATGCCACTGACGATGTTCGCCCCAGGTGGGGGAACCTCGTCGACATAGGTGCCTGTGGACTTCCAGGAAGCCATCTCTGCGTCCATGGCTGTCTGCCACTGAGAGGAGTAGGGACCCGCCATCACCTCAGCGTAAGTGCGCGGGGTCGGGATGTCTGGTGCATCCGGGTCTCCCTCAGGGGCAACTAGCATGGACACGAGATGGGGCAAAGAAGCAGCAAAGCACTGGAACTCCTCCTGTCTGTCCTCAAGGACGTCCGTGCCAAGAGCATACTCACCCCCGACGGACGGAGGACAGACAGACTCAGACTCAGCAACAAGGCTAGCGGCGTAGTCTAGACGACACCGGGCAGCAAAGTCTATCAACTCAGCGACCAGAGCAGACGCAGCAGAGGACTCAAAGGTAGGGTCAGTGACAACAGTGGCGAGAAGACGGGTGACAGTGGGACTGGCAGCACGACGGGCGTCAGACTCCGGGTCAGGAAGAGTAGGCAGAGAGGACGCAGGAGGAGACGGCAGCGGGACACGCTGAGGAGCAGTGGAGGGACGCAGAGTCATGTAGTGAGTGCCAGGGACAGGAGGAGGACGCTCACGTGGGACACGACGACCAGTGCGAGCAGTACGAACAGGCGACGCAGGACGAGACGCAGGCTCACGACGCTCTGCAAGACCTCCTGTGGGACCAGTGTAAGGAGAGGGACCAGGGAGAGGCGAGGCAGGCGGTAACTGTGACTGCGACTGGACAGGCGGAGGACACTCTACGGAGGGAGGAGGACAAGGAGGAGGAGCCTGACCAAGAACCTGCTGAAGAAGTGGTACGAAGTACGGTCGCGGCCGCGCAGCGTCTCCAGAACCAGCAGAGACACCAGCGGCAGGGTCCTCAGCACCAGCAGCAGCTCCAACGTCCGGGTCCTCAGCACCAGCAGCAGCTCCACCGCTCGGGTCCTCAGCACCAGCAGCAGCTCCACCGTCCGGGTCCTCAGCTCCAGCAGCAGCTCCAACGCCCGGGTCCTCAGCACCAGCAGCAGCGCCACCGCTCGGGTCCGCAGCACCAGCAGCAGCTCCAACGCCCGGGTCCTCAGCACCAGCAGCAGCTCCACCGCTCGGGTCCTCAGCACCAGCAGCAGCTCCAACGCCCGGGTCCTCAGCACCAGTAGCAGCGCCACCCCCAGGGTCCGCAGCACCAGGAGCACCACTCCGAAGACTGCAGCGCCGCGTGTACCACTCTCGGATCTGCTGAATGGGGGGGAGCTCCTGGGCAGGAGGGGAAGTACTGGTACGAGCTCCAGTAGCACCTCTCCGGAGGCGGCAGTACTGTAGGTACCTCTCCTGCAGCTGCCGGGAGGAGAGGGCTCCTCCAGGTGTAGCACGCTCAGGCTCAGCACCCCCAGACTCAGCACCCCCAGGCTCAGCACCTCCAGGCTCCGCACCTCCAGGCTCCGCACCTCCAGGCTCAGCACCCCCAGGCTCCGCACCTCCAGACTCAGCACTCCCAGGCTCAGCACCCCCAGACGCAGGACTCCCAGGCTCAGCACCCCCAGGCTCAGCACCCCTAGCAGGACGAGAGTCGACAGCTACCTCGACAGGCTCACCCGGGTCTACCTGGGACACACCTGAGGGAGCGGCACCCTGAGGGGGGAGGGGGTCTGGTACCTCAGCACCTGGAGCGAGGAAGAGAGGCGGGGGGGGGAGCGGGGTAGTGCGGTAGGGGAAGAGGCGGTAGTAGGGGACGGACTCGTCAAAAGTGACGTCCTGAGAGGCCAGGACACGACGCGAGGTGGCGTGGTAGAACTGCCAACCAGGCGCGTCCGGGACAAAGCCAAGGAAGACACAGGGGACAGCGCGACGGGAGAGCTTGTCCGCGGACGTGTCGCGAACAAAAGCTCGGGATCCCCAGACCCGAAAACGCGACGCATCGCCAGCCTCTCCCATCCAACGCAGTGTCGGAGAAGTCTCCGGGAGGGAGACTCGGGGCCAGAGGTTGAGCTGATGCGCAGCGTATCGGACTGCAAACGGCCACAGAAAATGGGGGGCAGCCGCATGAATCATGGAGGTACGAGCGACCTCCATGACCAAGCCAATGCGGCGCTCAGCAACCCCATTCTGCTGTGGAGAGGCCGGAAGCGTGAACGACTGCTCAATGCCCTCCTGCTGACAGAAGGCCTCCAAGAGGCCGGAGGAAAACTCCCCACCTCTGTCAGAGTGCAGACGCAGGACAGGAAAGTCGGAGTGGAAACGCTTGCTGAGCTGGAGACGAGATCTGCGGATCCAAGGGATCAAGACATCAGGGACGTCACCCTTGGCGCGCAAGGGGAAGACCGTGGTGTAGCGCGAGAAGTCGTCAACAACAATCAGGAAGTACCTCTCCTGACCCTGTCCACGGACGCGGGCTGGGCCCCACACGTCCAAGTGGAGCGTCTGCAAAGGAGCAGTCGTCGGGGGAAAGGAGGAGGAGTGAGGAGCGGCGCGCTGCCGCCCCTCGACACAGGGAAGACAGGGAGGAGCAGGCGAGGGTGGGAGGGGAGGGAGAACCCTGGGAAGACCAGCAACAAGGTCCCGTTTGTGCATGGCCCGAAGGCGCTGCACAGACGGGTGACCAAGGCGGTGGTGCCAGAGGACAGTCTCATGCGCCAGAGAGCGACACGAGCAGGGGGCGGACAGCTGACCTGACGCAGACGCAGACGCAGACGCAGCTACCTGAGGGGACTCAGTGGTCAGTGTGTACAGGTCCGACCTCGGCTCCCGAGTGAAGGTAGCCAGGTGACGGCCCGTCCGAGCACACGTGCAGTGTGTCACGCGCTCGTAGGCAGGGGTGAACTGGTGAACACCCCCGTCCTGGAGCGCACTACCCGCCACCAAGTTCGTAGAGAACGAGGGGAGGTAGAGACCAGACAGTGTGCCAGACGGGACCGCAGGACAGGGAAGAACAGTGGAGGAGGTCGCAATGACCGGACCCCCAGAGGGGTCAGCGAGGGAGACAGCAACTGGCCGAGCGAGTGGCTCAAGGGCAGTGCGGTCACGAAAGAAACAGCGAGAAGCACCTGAGTCCAGTGTGAAGGTGTGCAGTGCCTCAGTCGACTCAGTACCAGGGGAGACAGACTCACCAGCACCTAGAGCGGCAGCCTCACCATCACCTGGGGTAGCAGACACGCGAGCACCTGGAGCTGCAGACGCACTAGCACCTAGAGCAGCAGCCTCACTGGTCAGAATGCCCGGGTCGGGCGGAACACGCAAGTACTGAGCACCCTCTCCACTAGTAAACATAGCATACATGGCAGTGAGAATAGCATCAAAGTCTAAAGCCCAGATATCAACTCCCTTCTTCTCCAGATCAAACCAGCGGGGCAGCTCATTGCCGTCAGGGAACTGAGTGCGCCAAGCGTCGTCAAGGCGCGCGAAATAGCGTGGCGTGGGGTGCGGCTTCCCACACGTCTGACCAGTGCGGTCACCAGTGCGGATGACGTACGTGCAGCTAAGGCCACCCGCCCCCCCACGCTGCGCATACCACTCACGGGCCTCCTGGAGCGACGGAGTGTGCTGCTGGCTCGGACCACCGCCAGCGCCTCCACGACCACCACCGCCGCTGCCACCTCCTCGACCACCCCCTCCCCTGCCGCTGCCACGACCACCGCCGCCCCCGCTGCCGCCCCCGCCCCTGCCACCGCCTCCGCCGCTGCCGTCACTACCCCCACTGCCGCCACTAGTCTCTCCAGCCCCTCCTCCACTCCCACCGCCTTCACCCTTGCCGCCTTTGGTCATGCGGCGCCCGCTCGGAGCAGACGCGGTCCCGACCTTCTCAGCACCAAGGAGGTCGACAGCAGAAGCAGAGGCGACAGAGGGGAGAAGGGGGGAAGGGGAACACCCCTCAAAGAAGGGGGTGCGGGGCTCGCCACGAGAGGCACCTACGGCGACGATGCTCGCCTCAGCTGCAAGTAGGTCCTTCTCGAGGAGGGCAATGGTGAGCTCAGTAGGGGAGCGAGCTAGAAAGGAATCCCTGACTGTGCGCAGAGAGTCAGGGAGGCGGGTGACAATGTGGTAGAGAGTGAGCCAGAGCGGGGGGGGGTTGCTAGCAAGGAACTCGGCAGGCATAGCAGCGCGAAAGCGGGCCTCACTAGTCTTGAGGTGGGTGATGAGGTCAGCAACAGTGTGAAAGGAGGCCAGGTCGGGGAACAGGTAGGGCAGTGAGAGGCGGCCTAGTGCGGCAGACGCAGGTGAGGAGTAACGAGCAACTACGGCTGTGTACAGTTCCTTAGCAGTCTTGCACTGGCCGAAGTGCTCGCGCTCATCTAGCGGTAGGGAGTTGCGAATAGCGAAGCGAGCGTGCGCGTCACGGGTCTGCCACTGGGAGCGCAGAGTGCTGTCAGCAGTAGTGTCAGGGGCAGTAGCATGGCCTAGGGCGTGATCGTACAGTGAAATGTCCTCCTTGGCAGTGAGCTGTAGGAAGAGGTGCAGGTCATCGAGCCAGGTGTCAAACTTCACTGGGCGGCCCTCAGCATCGAAGGCTAGCACAGGAGGGCTAGCCATAGTAGCAGTAGGAGGAACAGTAGTAGTGTCAGTAGCAGTGACAGCAGCAGCAGTAGCGCGGTAGGGCAGGGCAGTGCGGCTCTAGCAGGGCAGGGCCGGGGCAGTCGTGACGGTGGTGGCAGCTGCTGAAGGCTCGGGAACGGCCGCTGCTGCAGGGACGGCGGCGGCTGCTGTTGTATTCTCGAACGGCGGCTGCTGCTGCAGGCTCGGCGGCGGCAGCTGCTGCAGGTCCGGCGGCGGCTGCTGCTGCTGGCTCGGCGACGGCAGCTGCTGCAGGGTCGGCGGCGGCAGCTGCTGCAGGGTCGGCGGCAGCTGCTGCTGCAGGGTCGGCGGCGGCCGCTGCTGTAGGTCTGGCGGCGGCTGCGACTGCAGGCTCTGCCGCGGCTGTTGCTGCAGGCTCGGCGGCGGCAGCTGCTGCAGGTCCGGCGGCGGCTGCTGCTGCAGGCTGGGCCGCGGCAGCTGCTGCAGGTCTGGCGGCGGCTGCTACTGCAGGTCCGACCGCGGCTGCTGCTGCTGGCTCGGCGGCGGCTGCTACTGCAGGTCCGGCCGCGGCTGCTGCTGTAGGCTCTGCGGCGGCAGCTGCTGAAGGTCAGCGGCGGTAGCTGCTGCAGGCCCAGTGGAGACAGCTGCTGCAGACGAGAGGGAAGGGGACCGCGACGGGTCCTGGAGGGGCCGCGAAGGGCGGCGAGGGGCGGCGACGAAGCCGCGAAGAGGCGGCAACAGAGCCGCGAAGGGGAGGGCGGCGACGGAGTCGCGTATGGGCGGCGACGAGGCCGCGTAGGGGCGACGACGAAGCCGCGTAGGGGCGGCGACGAGGTCACGAAAGGGCGGTGACAGAGCTGCGCGGGGGGGGAGGGCGACGAGGCCGCGAAAAGGGGGGCCGCTAAGGGGCCTTAAGCGGGGGTCGCGAGGGGCCAACGAGGGGCCGCGAGAGGACCTTAAGAGAGGGGCCGCGACGGGCCGTTAGGGACAGGCGCACGGGGCGCGACTAGGGTAGGCGCGAAGCGCGCTCCGGGCAGGAAAAAAAAAAAATTCGTTTTCCGTGGTGGGCCCGAAACTTCCTACTCTATACCATGTCAAGACTCGAGAGGAAAGTATGTCGATTAGGTTAGGGGAGGGGGGTACAAGAGTATCGAGAGAATTGTTGTACCCTCTAAGAATCACCCCTACACAACCTAGAACTAAATAATATGAAACATATAATTTGACAATAATGGGCGTACCGGGCAGAGTTCGGGCGCTCAAATCTTGCGGACGACACGGAACGAAATGGAGCCACTTGTTGTGGGAGTGGAAAATAGTCTAATCTAGAGGACTAGCAAAAAAAATGGGGCATCCAATGCAGCGGACCAGTCAAAGTGATGCGTTGGGCAGTCGGGGCAGTGTGCGCGCCTATAATGGGCGTACCGGGCAGAGTTCGGGCGCTCAAATCTTGCAAACGACACGGAACGAAATGGAGCCACTTGTTGTGGGAGTGGAAAATAGTCTAATCTAGAGGACTAGCAAAAAAAATGGGGCATCCAATGCAGCGGACCAATCAGTCAAGGTGATGCGTTGGGCAGAAGGGGCAGTATGCGCGCCTATAATGGGCGTACCGGGCAGGGTTCGGGCGCTCAAATCTTGCGGACGACACGGAACGAAATGGAGCCACTTGTTGTGGGAGTGGAAAATAGTCTAATCTAGAGGACTAGCAAAAAAAATGGGGCATCCAATGCAGCGGACCAGTTAAGGTGATGCGTTAAGGAGTCTGGGCAGTATGCGCGCCTATAATGGGCGTACCGGGCAGGGTTCGGGCGCTCAAATCTTGCAAACGACATGGAACGAAATGGAGCCACTTGTTGTGGGAGTGGAAAATAGTCTAATCTAGAGGACTAGCAAAAAAAATGGGGCATCCAATGCAGCGGACCAGTCAAAGTGATGCGTTGGGCAGTCGGGGCAGTATGCGCGCCTATAATGGGCGTACCGGGCAGAGTTCGGGCGCTCAAATCTCGGGCAGAGTTCGGGCGCTCAAAACTTGCAAACGACAGGGAACAAAATGGAGACACTTGTTGTGGGAGTGGAAAATAGTCTAATCTAGAGGACTAGCAAAAAAAATGGGGCATCCAATGCAGCGGACCAGTCAAAGTGATGCGTTGGGCAGTCGGGGCAGTATGCGCGCCTATAATGGCCGTACCGGGCAGAGTTCGGGCGCTCAAATCTTGCAAACGACATGGAACGAAATGGAGCCACTTGTTGTGGGAGTGTGAAATAGTCTAATCCAGAGGAATAGAAAAAATAATGGGGCATCCAATGCAGCGGACCAGTCAAAGTGATGCGTTGGGCAGTCGGGGCAGTATGCGCGCCTATAATGGGCGTACCGGGCAGGGTTCGGGCGCTCAAATCTTGCAAACGACATGGAACGAAATGGAGCCACTTGTTTTGGGAGTGGAAAATAGTCTAATGTAGAGGACTAGACGAAAAAATGGGGCATCCAATGCAGCGGACCAGTCAAAGTGATGCGTTGGGCAGTCGGGGCAGTGTGCGCGCCTATAATGGGCGTACCGGGCAGGGTTCGGGCGCTCAAATCTTGCGGACGACACGGAACGAAATGGAGCCACTTGTTGTGGGAGTGGAAAATAGTCTAATCTAGAGGACTAGCAAAAAAAATGGGGCATCCAATGCAGCGGACCAGTCAAAGTGATGCGTTGGGCAGTCGGGGCATCGTGCGCGCCTATAATGGGCGTACTGGGCAGCGTTCGGGCGCTCAAATCTTGCGGACGACACGGAACGAAATGGAGCCACTTGTTGTGGGAGTGGAAAATAGTCTAATCTAGAGGACTAGCAAAAAAAATGGGGCATCCAATGCAGCGGACCGGTCAAAGTGATGCGTTGGGCAGTCGGGGCAGTGTGCGCGCCTATAATGGGCGTACCGGGCAGGGTTCGGGCGCTCAAATCTTGCGGACGACACGGAACGAAATGGAGCCACTTGTTGTGGGAGTGGAAAATAGTCTAATCTAGAGGACTAGCAAAACAAATGGGGCATCCTATGCAGCGGACCGGTCAAGGTGATGCGTTGGGGAGTCGGGGCAGTGTGCGCGCCTATAATGGGCGTACCGGGCAGGGTTCGGGCGCTCAAATCTTGCGGACGACACGGAACGAAATGGAGCCACTTGTTGTGGGAGTGGAAAATAGTCTAATCTAGAGGACTAGCAAAAAAAATGGGGCATCCAATGCAGCGGACCGGTCAAAGTGATGCGTTGGGCAGTCGGGGCAGTGTGCGCGCCTATAATGGGCGTACCGGGCAGGGCGCTCAAATATTGCGGACGACACGGAACGAAATGGAGCCACTTGTTGTGGGAGTGGAAAATAGTATAATCCAGAGGACTAGAAAAAAAAATGGGGCATCCAATGCAGCGGACCGGTCAAAGTGATGCGTTGGGCAGTCGGGGCAGTGTGCGCGCCTATAATGGGCGTACCGGGCAGGGTTCGGGCGCTCAAATCTTGCGGACGACACGGAACGAAATGGAGCCACTTGTTGTGGGAGTGGAAAATAGTCTAATCTAGAGGACTAGCAAAAAAAATGGGGCATCCAATGCAGCGGACCGGTCAAAGTGATGCGTTGGGCAGTCGGGGCAGTGTGCGCGCCTATAATGGGCGTACCGGGCAGGGTTCGGGCGCTCAAATCTTGCGGACGACACGGAACGAAATGGAGCCACTTGTTGTGGGAGTGGAAAATAGTCTAATCTAGAGGACTAGCAAAACAAATGGGGCATCCTATGCAGCGGACCGGTCAAGGTGATGCGTTGGGGAGTCGGGGCAGTGTGCGCGCCTATAATGGGCGTACCGGGCAGGGTTCGGGCGCTCAAATCTTGCGGACGACACGGAACGAAATGGAGCCACTTGTTGTGGGAGTGGAAAATAGTCTAATCTAGAGGACTAGCAAAAAACATGGGGCATCCAATGCAGCGGACCGGTCAAAGTGATGCGTTGGGCAGTCGGGGCAGTGTGCGCGCCTATAATGGGCGTACCGGGCAGGGTTCGGGCGCTCAAATCTTGCGGACGACACGGAACGAAATGGAGCCACTTGTTGTGGGAGTGGAAAATAGTCTAATCTAGAGGACTAGCAAAAAAAATGGGGCATCCAATGCAGCGGACCGGTCAAAGTGATGCGTTGGGCAGTCGGGGCAGTGTGCGCGCCTATAATGGGCGTACCGGGCAGGGTTCGGGCGCTCAAATCTTGCGGACGACACGGAACGAAATGGAGCCACTTGTTGTGGGAGTGGAAAATAGTCTAATCTAGAGGACTAGCAAAAAACATGGGGCATCCAATGCAGCGGACCGGTCAAAGTGATGCGTTGGGCAGTCGGGGCAGTGTGCGCGCCTATAATGGGCGTACCGGGCAGAGTTCGGGCGCTCAAATCTTGCGGACGACACGGAACGAAATGGAGCCACTTGTTGTGGGAGTGGAAAATAGTCTAATCTAGAGGACTAGCAAAAAAAATGGGGCATCCAATGCAGCGGACCGGTCAAAGTGATGCGTTGGGCAGTCGGGGCAGTGTGCGCGCCTATAATGGGCGTACCGGGCAGAGTTCGGGCGCTCAAATCTTGCGGACGACACGGAACGAAATGGAGCCACTTGTTGTGGGAGTGGAAAATAGTCTAATCTAGAGGACTAGCAAAAAAAATGGGGCATCCAATGCAGCGGACCGGTCAAAGTGATGCGTTGGGCAGTCGGGGCAGTGTGCGCGCCTATAATGGGCGTACCGGGCAGAGTTCGGGCGCTCAAATCTTGCGGACGACACGGAACGAAATGGAGCCACTTGTTGTGGGAGTGGAAAATAGTCTAATCTAGAGGACTAGCAAAACAAAATGGGGCATCCTATGCAGCGGACCGGTCAAAGTGATGCGTTGGGCAGTCGGGGCAGTGTGCGCGCCTATAATGGGCGTACCGGGCAGAGTTCGGGCGCTCAAATCTTGCGGACGACACGGAACGAAATGGAGCCACTTGTTGTGGGAGTGGAAAATAGTCTAATCTAGAGGACTAGCAAAACAAAATGGGGCATCCTATGCAGCGGACCGGTCAAAGTGATGCGTTGGGCAGTCGGGGCAGTGTGCGCGCCTATAATGGGCGTACCGGGCAGAGTTCGGGCGCTCAAATCTTGCGGACGACACGGAACGAAATGGAGCCACTTGTTGTGGGAGTGGAAAATAGTCTAATCTAGAGGACTAGCAAAACAAAATGGGGCATCCTATGCAGCGGACCGGTCAAAGTGATGCGTTGGGCAGTCGGGGCAGTGTGCGCGCCTATAATGGGCGTACCGGGCAGAGTTCGGGCGCTCAAATCTTGCGGACGACACGGAACGAAATGGAGCCACTTGTTGTGGGAGTGGAAAATAGTCTAATCTAGAGGACTAGCAAAACAAAATGGGGCATCCTATGCAGCGGACCGGTCAAAGTGATGCGTTGCGCTGTCGGGGCAGTGTGCGCGCCTATAACGGGCGTACCGGGCAGAGTTCGGGCGCTCAAATCTTGCGGACGACACGGAACGAAATGGAGCCACTTGTTGTGGGAGTGGAAAATAGTCTAATCTAGAGGACTAGCAAAACAAAATGGGGCATCCTATGCAGCGGACCGGTCAAAGTGATGCGTTGCGCTGTCGGGGCAGTGTGCGCGCCTATAACGGGCGTACCGGGCAGAGTTCGGGCGCTCAAATCTTGCGGACGACACGGAACGAAATGGAGCCACTTGTTGTGGGAGTGGAAAATAGTCTAATCTAGAGGACTAGCAAAACAAAATGGGGCATCCTATTCAGCGGACCGGTCAATGTGATGCGTTGCGCAGTCGGGGCAGTGTGCTCGCCTATAACGGGCGTACCGGGCAGAGTTCGGGCGCTCAAATCTTGCAAACGACACGGAACGAAATGGAGCCACTTGTTGTGGGAGTGGAAAATAGTATTATCTAGAGGACTAGCAAAAATAATGGGGCATCCAATGTAGCGGACCGGTCAATGTGATGCGTTGCCCAGTCGGGGCAGTATGCGCGCCTATAACGGGCGTACCGGGCAGAGTTCGGGCGCTCAAATCTTGCAAACGACAC